ACCACGACTAGGAGGTAAATAGAAGTGTAGGATCAGCAGAAGAATCCCAGAAAGAGAAAGTATGTGAACATGAAAAGAACATTAATATTTTATGCATATATAAATGTTTATAAATGTATATCATTGTATAGTAAACATTGCCTATAATCTAGTTGTTTTTCATGTAATTTTGCGAAGTCTTAGAGTTTATTTAGTGTCATAATATTTCATAATGAGTCTAGGCGTTATAGTGTTCTAATAGCTCATGCGTTTTAGAAATAAGTGGTGCGGTGTGATTGGCATAGTCATTAGGATGAAACAGTTTATACAGCAAGCGTTTGAAGGTTATAATAGAGTGACAGGTCCTTATTTCTCGGGGAAAAGTGTTCCAGATCTTAGAGTACATGACTATGAAGAAGTTTGCACGGAGTGCTGTCTTACAGTTTTTCCTATATACTGTGCACGTTCGGTTACGAAGGTTGTAGGAGCCTTCCGGTGAGAACTGTATCTCCTTTCTGTCTGAGAATGATATTTTATGCAAGACTTTAAAGAAGAATGTTAGAATAATGCTCAGTCGTCTTATCCAGAGTGGGTCGATACCTGGAGTTATGCACCTTGAGTGTAGTCCTTTTCGCAGTCAAATCCTAGTAGTTTAGACGTGAAGTATCATTGGACACTTTCTATTTCAAGCTTGTCACTTACGCGAGTGCTGCTGAGAATAAATGGACAATATTCAAGTAGTGGTCTGACACAAGTTTTATATAATAATAGTTTCGCTTCGTAGTTGTGGAAATTCCTGAGTATGCATCCTAAGAGCATCCTCGATTTACGCGTCTGTCTCGCCACTTGCTGAGAGAATGTCATGTCACTAGAGTACCTGAGTCCCAGGTCAACAACACTTTGGAGTTTAGGCAAGTCAATAGATTCAAGTACCAGTTTGATATTTATTGAGGGTGCACCGAAACAGATCCAACCACATTTTTAGGGCTGAATTCGAGGTTCCATGTGGAGGACCATGCAGTTACTCTATCTAGTTCTTCCTGAACAGCTTTCTGAAAGTATCCTAAGTCATCACAGTGGAATGTGTAAGCTACTTTAAGATCATCTGCAAAGATGAATGGTTTACCAAGTGAGAAACAGTTGCATATGTCGTTGACATATAGAGTGAATAGGAGGGGGCCTAAGACGCTACCTTGAACTACTCCAGAAGTGACTGGACTAGGTTTAGAGTTTACAGAACCCAGTCTAACTACTTGGGAATGATTCAATCCATCCTAATAATGGGTTACTTATTCCTAAGGAGTTTAGCTTATTTATTAGAAGCAAATGGTCAACCCGGTCGAAGGCTTTGGATATGTCGAAGTAGATGACTAGTACTAGTTGTTGTTTGTCTCGGCTGCTAGTTATATAGTTAAAGAAGTCAAGGTGACATGTCATGCATGATCTGAATTTTAGGAATCCATGTTGGTTGAGACTTAGAATGTTTGAGAATATCATCTTTAACTATTCTTTCAATGATTCTAGATACTATGGGTGTAATATTGATTGGCCTATAGTTGTTGACTTCAGTTTTAGATCCGGATTTGTGTTTGGGTACTATAAATGTGGTTTTCCATTTATCTGGATAGGTTTGGCTTTCCAGGGACATTGTAAAGATCTTAAGTAATAAAACGGAAATGTCAGAACCACCGTGTTTATAAAGGTACGATGGTTTACCGTCAAAACCAGCACTACTAGAGCTTTTAAGAGTATTAATGGCTTGGTTAATATTAGAGTAAGTGAAATGAACTGTACTGATTTGTTTCAGCGTTGAAGATGAAGGGAGTTCTATTGTAGATTGTAAACCGAGAAGTGGACTTGTGGGCTTAAGGTAGTTAGCTGCAAACGTCTCGTTAAACAGTTCACACATGTCTGCATGGTTGCTGTATAGTTTGCCCTTGTTTATAAGGAGAGATATTTTATAGCTTTGGCGATTAATTCGTTTCTTTAGGATTTCTGTGAGAGCACCTACTCTGGTAGTGCTGGCTAGTGCGGTGCATTCTTCATTTCTCATACGCAAGTTATGAGCTTGCGAGATGGAGCTAATAGTACTAAGTATTGACCCTAGTGTACTAAAGTCGTGTCGTCTGAAGTAACTTGTTGACAGTCTCTTCAGTTTCCTACGATCCTTTGGCTTTATGAATGTCTTTCTATGTGGGGAAAACTTTTACTGTTTGAAGTGGGATGACAACATCTAAGCATGTGTTGGAGTTATAGTAAAAGATGTCTAGAGCTTTCGAGAGGCTATCAGTATAGAAGTACTCTCTCCATTCTGAGGGTCTTAGCATTGATTTCACTAGAGTCCAGTCTGACTTACTGTAGTTCCTGTAAGTTATTTGTTGTGAAGTATGGGTTGCATTGCTACTTGACGGAAGTGGCAGTGCACACAGCACTGTTTTGTGGTCACTCCCTCAAAACTCAGAACCTATTAGGGTAGAAAGTGGACTTATATTGTGGCAGAAGATTAAGTCTAGTACGTTATTACCTCTTGTAGGGGTTGTGACAGTCTGTTTCCAGCCAAGTATATCCAGTGTGCCTAAGAACTTACCAAATTTAACTGGGCATGTGGATAAGTTAAAGTCTCCACATAGGATCTTATGATCGTATTGTAAGGTGGATAATTGTTCTAGAGTATTAATAAGTTGGGTCTCGTAATTACTAAAGGTTCCAGGTGCTCTGTAGGTGCATCCAATTAATACTATTGTATTATTTAAGTGTAAGTTAACCCATAAAGTCTCAGGTATGTTAAGTGTACTACTTTCTAGCTGTGATACAGTAAGTGCATTCAGAAAGTACATGAGACAACCCCCTCCATTACCGCCTTCCCTGTCACACCGAAAGTGAGTGTAGTTATCTTAGCTTATCTCTTCATCCAGTATGTTCCAATTACACCAAGATTCAGTCATGACAATTATAGGGGGTTTGTATATTACTGTGAGTGCTCTGAGCATCGGTAGTTTATTTAGAACAGATCTAGCATTTATGAGGATTAGGTAAAGATGAGATTTGAAATAGCATTTGAAGTACTTAAGTTCGTCAATCAGCCCCGAATGTGGTTCAGCACCCAGTAGTACTGTTTGACATGACGACCCTATGTTGAGAGGAGTTTCAGCATCATGCTCACCTATGTCTATCGAGTTGGTGTGTGCCGTTTTCGGTGAAGAATTAAGCGTTGGAGTACTGGATTTTCTATAGGCTAAGGCACTTTTATTTTTAGTTAAGCTAGAAACGGGGGTAGGGATCTTTATTTGACCTAAACTTGTGTATGTACCAAGTGTGCTTAGTGGATGCGGGTGAACTAGACTGTTCCTATATTCATGCAAAGGGGGAGTCAGAACTAGCGGTTTAGGAGTGTTAACATCCCTACCAGCTGTTTTTTCAACGCTGACAGGGACGCAGGGGATAAGAAATGATTGGGACCTTGTGAAGACCATGATTTATTATTCGACTTATTGTTAGGTACTAGTTGTGCCCTTGTAAGGGTTTCGTGTGTACTGCTTTGTGGGTTAGTTCCCAGCAGACTTGTACCATATATCCGATCAAAACTTGTTTGTGTACCATACTGTGAATACCCTGAGTTGTTGTTGGACGAGTTCTGACCATTGCCACTTGTACTGTTGAGGGTGGCATTGTTATGACGTTGGTTATTAGTGTGTGCCATGGTGTTATTTCGCACGTTGTGGGTTCTAATACTTTTGACCCTTGGAAGTGTGAGCGTGTCGGAGCCGATGCCGTAATGTTTACTGTATAGCACTGTGAGACTATCAAAACAAAATTTACCCATAATGACTTCACATCACAACCCATCGATCTTGTTGGAAGCCTCATAGTTCAACATCTATGTGGCACTGTTCTGCTAACTATCGAAATGGTACTAAGTCGTTGGCATTTGAGCTACACGAAATTGTATTGGGTTTGATCGTGCTTTTCGAAATGGCATGCTTTTAGTGTATATTTATCTGTTTATCTGAAAGTATATTGCTACTCTACTATTACTGATAGTATTAAGGGATTAAAGGATTTGGACCCACCATCCCAACAAAACATTCCTCGGAGCTTGAAACTCAATTTCAGAATGGTGCAGTTGTGCATCCAAGCTGGAGGCATCAAAGAAAGTACACCCGATGGAAATCATATTACTATACGTTAATGGGAGAGTACTAGGGATCTGAAATCAGCTTATGGTTAAAAGAGTGTGCACATAGTAATGTAGCAATGGCAAAAGCTCTCAAAATACTAGATGGGGGTCTCAAAAGGCTTCTATCTAAGTGCTCTCACAAAAAGTGTATAGAGCCTATTATTTCATGCTTTAAGAAAGACTGATATATTCGGAATAGTACTAATGGAAGGCACTAACCTAGTTAGAGATATCTGAAATTTAACCTAAGAAGTTTAAACCTCTTCTCACTGTCATAGTATAAGTGAATGAGCAATCTTATTTACATATTATTTATACTGAATGTTAGCGAGGATAATGACTAGTTCGAACTTTTGTAGGTATTCACGATACCTTTGAGAGATGATGAAAATCTTCTTAGATTCTGTCGACGAAGACAAGGGTGGAATTTTTACTCTCAGATAGCTCCTGGTTCTCTTAGTAAGATCACGGGCATCCATTTTTTGTATGAAATTTTGTGACAAATGGCTGAATCTCCAGTGAGATTCATATTATAAAAATTATCAAAGATTATCAATAATTTCTTCTCCATTTCAGAAGCCTGAAGAGTGATTCCACTTGAAAAGGCACTTTTGACTATAAAAATAGTTCCTTTACATATATGTTGCTTTTAAAAGTCTATTTAGATGGATCAAAACATTGAAACTATAGACACTATAACCTCGTGTGTTTGTTTTATCGCGTTACTATGCTACAAGCAGCTGTCCAAAAGCTTGAGAGGCGCAGGCTTAGAACGACCGTCAAATTGAGTCTAGTCGCCCTGGCGGTTGTGTCATAGTCTAAGTGTCCCACGTATGCCATTTAGTTATGAAACATAAGTTACCGACCTGTGTTTCCCCATCATTCTCCAAACTTCGGAGATTGGATGGTGGTTGTTCACAGGTCGAAAAGACTAACTCAGTTAACTCACTTCTCGATCTCAGTGCCAAAGTAGTTGCTGAATTCCTGCCATTTGAATATGTGGAGCGCATGTTAGTTCATGTTCCGGAACCTGTTCAAGAAAAGATCATTTACTATTCTTTTCCACAACGAGATAGTGACATTTATACATATGCATCTTTTCACACAAAATATGACAAAACTCGAGATAAGATTCCGTATTACCAGGGCTTGGAATATTTTCAGAATAACTGTGTAGAGGATGTAATACAGATAGGTAAGTGTTTTAAAGATCTCTACGATTTTTAGGCTTTCATTTAACTGGTTCTGTACGCCAACAACCTGCCTCATGCGTTGTCGGGACACAAGGAGGAAATAAGTTCAAGGTTTCTATAACTTTTGACAGGTAACTTCGACTTGTTTCATTTTCATGGTATCAGATGCAAAATAATATCCGTTTGCTGCGATTGTGGTAATAAGGGATTACCATGGTGTCCTCATGTTGTCGCTCTGGCCATATTTCGCATACGACAACCTCAGTCTGTGGATTATCGTTCACCTATTTCTGGTAAGTTTGCTAATGTTAATTTGAAACTATCACTATGGTGCAGTATTTTGATTAACACTATCCGCACACAGATGAGATGATTGTGGATGGTGTGGATTATACTATAGGCACTGAGAATTGTGAAGTAATCATTTATTTACATTTATAAACCGGACGTCTATATTTGCCTCAGGGAGGTAATCTTAACATGTGTTTTGTCAGTCCCAGATGACGCTTAGGAAGCAGAAAAAACGTTAGAGACAATATTCCTAACGTACAACTTGTTAATAAGCTGTTGCTAAAACTACGAAGTTTAGATTTGAGCACCCACTCATTTGTGATACCTACTTCACTCGAATGACTGGGTAGAGCTCAGTCTCGTAAATGAAAAATCTATTCTGGCCAATTGCGTACCGACACTAACTCTGTCGTGACATACGAACCTTTGCATTTTTAAATTTTAAGAATTAACGCATATGAGTGACTGAATTTATTTCCTTGTGATTGTTTTATGCACTTTCATTGCTATAATTTCCTATTGTTTGGTTTGTAAGGGTTAGTTATTTTTTTACGAGTTGATCATGGATTGATATCAGCTAGAGAACCATTGAAAACCAGGGAGTGCTGGACAGCTGATTCATCCTAGTTTAAGAATCATCGGCAGTACGCACCCACCACAGGCGGTTCGAACCCAAGAACTTCCGGTTACAAGGCCAGCTAGCTGGCTCGTATACCATTCAGCCACACACTGGGACCCGATTCCTCAATAGCCAGCCAGTGCATGAATTCCAACTTCTACCAATTCTTGATGTATTTAGCGCGACCCCAACCAACGTTATCAGTGGGACATCCATCCTCACACGTGAGACATGTGTTACGTATGCCTAGTCATCGCCTCCCTCGACGGGCAATGTTAGCTGATATAGGGCCAGGCTGGAAAAGAGCTAGCGGCGGTCAAACCAAAACATGGCACCAATCAATGAAATCCACAACAGTTAGTCTAAGTCACGTAGGGAGATGTAGACTTCCTGGTTGGGGTCCTCGGGATGGTAAAAACAAATGGTTGGAAACAATTGGTGACATGGCTCAAAATCGTTCTCAGTGGCGCAGATGCATCCACTCCTTGTGACTTATGATTTCCGATGAAACTGTTTTGTTCTTCGTTATTACTACTCCTTTGTCTCACACCTCTGTTTACTGTCTATATTATGCATTCCTTCTAATTCCTTCTCTTGCTTTGCGTGCTACATAGATTGTGGCGACTTGAACTGCCGCACATATGTGCAAAGTTCTATGTCGAAAACAGACAGACCTCACACGTGACATCTGGATGGACCTCACTAGAACTCACTCCAAGACACTCCATCCTGTAGCAAGTCACTAGCGAGCATCAGATTTATTTTCTATAGTTTGGTTTGTAAGGGTTAGTTTTGCTTTTTTACGAGTTGATCACGGATTGATATCAGTTTGAGAAATAAAGAATTTCTTGTTTAATTAGTTTTCTCCTGGCGGCCATTAAGTGCAAAACTGTACACTTAAGTAGACTATCTGCATTTTCACTTACCTTTTTCCTAGAAAAATTCAAATCTATGAATTGCGACCACAAGTCACCTTCATATTGAGCATAATGTGACATATTTTGTTCAAAATTTTCAATCCTTTTGGTCACTGAATTATAATACAGCACTGTGTTGAACTAGTAGTTTCTTCAGTTGACCTAGATTCCTCGATGCAGTCTAAAAGTTCCAAACAAGAAGCTTACGCTTATTGATGCGCTATCCACCTGTTAAACATTTTTCGCCTACTCACAGGAGCATGAATATTAACAATGCTAAGCGGAGCAATGTTTTTTAAAAATGAATATAGAGTGAGAGTTGGCATTGCTTCACACATGCAAACCTGTCTCAGACACACTTCAAATATCTGCATTACATTCCTTGCAGGCAAAATCAGCTGACGTGGGGGACAGAATAGGAGAGAACCTAGGAGAGTCAAATTGAAGCCTAATGTCAGTCCAAGCAGATGTGACATTTTTTCTGTTATTCCGTGTATTAATATCTGCACTGCCTTGCTGAGGTTTCTGGGATTCTAGGAACCAGTGGCTTGAAACTGTGTTGTGTAATAATATAGTTCAAAATCGTTTAACAAAGGTACAGAGGCATTCACTGCTCGCCTTCTCCCAGAACCATTATTCTCCCTGTAATTATTTTTCTGCCATACTTTTCCGTTCATCATAATTCCTCTGAAATTTTTCCTTTACCTTTGTCACGCATCAGGAGTTTGACCACCTCTATGCCATGAACTTTGTTGAAAACTTAGAAGTTCGACATACTGTTGAATCATTAAACAACCTATTGCGCCTAGTCATATGATACCCGTAGGTACCAGTTCACATGCAGCAGGGTGGGGGAGGGGGGTTTCAGTTAATTAGTCTTTACACATTGTGTTCAACCTCAGTCAAATAGTAGGACGCGTCACCTACTTTTACTACTACAGTGCAAAATTAATCATCGGGAATCCATGTGACTCAGTTTTCAGCTTTTGTACACATAATAATACTCATTAATAAACTCATTTCTTTATTTTAAGAATTATTGAGCTCTGTCGATGTGAATTGTTCCATTTTCGCACTCAACTGGTTCTTTTTTGTATTTTGTTGCTCTCGTATGTATGTCACTCAAGTTGCGGTTAGTTTTTTGTGATATTGAAAAAAAGGAGTGGTGAGCGATCGGACTTATTCGTAAACTTGATAAAAACAGACTAATAGTAGGTTTCTTGCTATGTTTGTCCCAATTTTTGATAGTGGGGGAAATGGTTAGGAAGACTGACTGACTGACTGACTGACTGACTATTTCATCTAACGGAGGACGGGTCCCATTAACCGTAGTAAATTAGTGACTCAAGAAATCTCTTCATAGGTACAGAAAATTTGACTCCTTTTAGCCCCCCCCACCTGCCACCCACCCAAGCATTAACCGGAACTGAACAAAGCAAGACATCCAAAAATGCTTTGTCCTGATAATTAGTTACTGGGAATAGCTGCTTTAATTGAACTCTCTTTATAATGGCTTCAGTTATTTTCTTTTGCTGTTTCCTCTGTTAGTGTTCCTTGATTTGGATGAAGTCGCCGTGTTAGCGCTATGACCTCACCTATGCATAAGGTAATAGTGGTGGTGGTGGTGGTTGGGGGGGGGGCGGGTAGTAAACAAGTTAGTTTTGACTTAAGTGCAAACATTTTTTTAAGGCGACTAAAACATGCGTTATGTGTGTGTATATACCATCACCGCCCCTACCCTTTAATATGGTTGGAGGTAAGATGCAAGTAGCCTGGCATGAAATCAATGATAAACTCTGGTTGTTATTACCCCTAGAAGAAAACCAGATTAGGGGTCAGCATTGACCCAGATGATGAATAGTTGTCTGAAATCTTTGTTTCATTTCCTCTTGAAGCCTGAAATTCAAAATTTCGTTATTCTACTTCTATTCCACAAAATGCCTTCTCTTCTTAATCTTAGCATGTTGAGCAAATAAGGTGATATATATGTGTATACATCCAGACGTGTTTCGTGAGAAGTATAATATATATATATATGCTTTCCTTTTATCAGATAAATCGGAATAAACTTTTTTCACAAGTACATCAACCGTTCATCCTAGATGTCTGAATGTCTTTTTAGAATTCTTATATATATTTCATAGTGTGTAACACGTAAGGAGTTACATAGTACCCGCCCAGCTTTTATTAATTAGTCTTATCTTACGCATGTGCGCATATGCGTCTGAAATAGTATTCATGTAAATAACACTAAATTCGTATCTATACTAAGTGTGTCCCCGCATATTTGTGCGATGTATGCCTCGTAATAGATTTTTGTTCCATCTACATACTCTATATAAAGTGATCAATTCCGTTGGAAATCTAATCTAGTTCTTAACACTGTTCCTATGGCGCTTACTGGTCGTGTTTCGATCATTATATGTAAGTGATATTCCAAGTATTATCTCTATTTACACTGTCTGTCTGGATTCAAAATAGAACTTGCCACCGAAGTGCAGCAGTTCGAGTTGCCACCTTCCAAATAGCATACAAAGGTAGACAAGAAGATGGATGAGTGAAGAGAATCAATAGAGTTTTGACAAGTATAAGAGTGAAACAGAATGAGTAATGGTAGAAAGGCATGAGGAAGATTACAGAGACAGAATACATCTGCGTAAGCCATTGACAACGATTTTGAGCCATGTCACCTATTGTCTGTCTCCAGCCGTTGATTCTTAGAGTCCCGAGGGCGGGCCCCAACCAACAGGAAGTCTGCATCTCCCTCTCTACCTGACTCAGTCTAACTGTCAAGGGTTTCATGGATTGATGAGGCCATGTTTTTGTTTGGCATGGCACCACTTACTCTTTTCCAACCTGCACCTATGTCAATCAGCTAGTAATGGCTGTCGGGAGGGGGAGGCGATGGTTAGGCATGCGCAGCACGTCACCGAGGCATCTCAATCTATGTAACTTTATAGCCTCGTCGATTGATTTTTCCCTCTTTGCCCAACACTCTACGCCTAACCTAACGTCGACATTACCTGCCTTATTATGCCACCTAACGTGATAAAGAGATCGTAGACATCTATGATCAAAAACAGTCAACCTTTTCATGTCTTCAACTCGTATTGATTGGCCATGTTTCAGAGGCATAGAGAAGGGCGGAGCGAACTGCTGAGCAGTACATACGTCGGATGTCACGCCTACGCCAGAGATGGTGTAAGTTAGCGAAAGCAGCCAGAGGTTTTTGGATCCGTGCTGAGATTTCGTTACCAATCAATCCGTTGGTGCTGATAAAACTTCCCAAATAGGTGTGAAGTGG